CGCGGCCACGGGGACCAGTGTACGCGTATCCTCCGGGACCAGTTCCTCCTACAGGTGTCTCTAGCCCAGCGTCATCCACGTATCTTCCCCCACCTCCTGGTCCGCCTGGAATGTACTTGCGCCGCTTGCTGGCTGGCGCTGAGTCAGATATGTGTCGCCGGGGCGGTCGTGTGCTTCTCACGCGTGGTAGTGGTGTGTCGGGAACAGGCGCCATGTAGACAGAGCGAATATGTCTAGAGGCCCGCAAGGGTGAGGTTGGGAATCGCGAAATCACGCGCCGGCGCCGGTGCTGTGTCGTGAAAGCTACGGCAAGCGCGTATTCACCCGGCAGCCAGAATGTACCGTGTTCATCGATTCGGGGGCCAGCGGTAGGCGATGTGCGGAGGGGCGTTGGCTGCGAGACGGGCGCGATACCGTGATGCGCCTGCTTGGAGGTGCAAGCCGGGGTCGACCAAAGCGGTTAGTGCGCCAAGCACCATGTGGGCTGGAGCTAGTTCGCAGTTCCCGTTCACACCAGGCTGCACCCTACTGTCTTGTTGCAGAGCCGATCGCTAATTACCAAGCCCATCTTCGGCATTCATCATCGCTCGGGTATTCCTCCCAAGCGCCGTCAGAGCTGTCTACGTTCCGGGCAATCACTCTGCGTTTTCGCCCAGCTCATTCTTGCATACTACACTGGCACATGTTTTCACCATTACCGAAGCTTTGCTCTACAATCAAATTCTTGTCGTGAGTCGTGCATCTCCGGAAACTTTAGCCAACGCGACGTCTTTTGTCAGACCAGGGCTGCCGATCCATTATCCCAGATTCCGCTGTCACAAGCGAAATGGTTCCTGCATGGACACAGTCAGTACGGCTTTGCTCGGCAACTTGGGCTAGCATAGACGGCACACTCTCCAACGACCATGTCCACGGCAAGCTTCGCAGTGATTACTAGGTTTACCTCACAGCGGCTGGCGAAGCGCGTTTATGTATTCTGGCAACAGGGTGTCTCGCACTTGCAATCATTGTTACAGGCCGTGTAGCAATCATTCTTTCACTGTGGTCAGCTACGAAGGCGGCGTACATCTTTCGCGAAAGACGTTTCCCGAACACTACACTTGATGCGCGTACCTTGAGTTGACAATAAGTTTGTTGTTGCTAACTGGATGATCCTGACATTGTTCTTTGTCATGCGCCAGACACTGATGTCAGCATCTACAGAGTCCAGATACGGTGACACCCTTGGAAGTGTTCGGGATGGTATCACATGATCGAATGCCGTGTCTTGAGCAGTCTTGCGATCCTCAGATACGAAGCATCAGCACTAGCAACGAGAGTAGCCATACAGAGAGGTTAGCATTGGGTCTGGAGAACACTGAACCAACAGCAGTTCATGCTTGGCTAATGAGGCGTAGCAAACCAAACTGTCGATCTGGTGGCACACGCCCCGCCAAGCTTGGCTCACAGAACAATAGGAAGTATTTTACGAATAGGTACTAGTCTTTCAGAAGGTGCATATATGCAGTGACGTTACTCCATGTGTCTAGCATCGCTGTTTTATCCTCACGACAATAAGCTTTTCCAGATCACAACTAAACACCTGCAACGTACCGACAGCGAATACCTGGATCTGATTGTACTATGGCTCAGCCAGACTCAACCACTTCGAAACTGTTCAGAGTCATCATCGTCGGGGCTGGCATCGTCGGTTTATCGCTCTCCCATGCCTTACAACTAGTCAACATTGACCACGTCGTTCTTGAAAAGCATGACAAGATCGTTTCAATAAGAGGTCCAGCACTGATTATCTGGCCCCCGGTCGCACGCATCTTTGACCGGTTCGGCATTCTCGACAAGATCGCCAGGACCATCACGCCTGTAGGCAAAGAATATATAAGATGGCCAGACGGAAGTGTGAGCCGGTACGACCCTGTTCAACAGTATATGAGCAAACTGTAGGTCGATCTCGTGTTGTCGCATTACCTGAAAACCAAGATAAAGGACGAATACTGACCCACAAAAGCTTCCAAGTACCGAGTATCTTGTTTGATCGCCAGGCTCTGGTATCACATCTATACGAGGGGCTACCAGACAAGTCATACATTCACACAAACCGGCGGCTTGAGAGGATTGAGCATACTGAGACTGGTGTTTGTATCCATTTGGCGGATGGCTCTGTCGAAGTAGGCGACATGGTCATCGAAGCACACGGTGTGCATAGCCTCGTGCGACAGCTCATGTGGGACTATGCCTCAGAATTTGAATCAGGAACAATACCTGAAAATGAAAAAGAAATTATGAGATTCAGCGAGTTCAGAGGTATTTTCGGTGTCAGCACAGTGAAAGATTCGTTCGATCTTGGGCCTGCAGATACACATGTCATTCTCGGTCAAGACAACACGAAAATGGTTTTTATTTAGCATGGGAAAGCATATTGGGGTATCACCTTCAAAGATGAGGCCCATCTGCCAGAGAAGAGAGACAAGGCTACAGAAGCAGACATCGAGGCAGTAGCGAAGAACTTTGCCGACCATCCTATCACGGAGAAGATCAAAGTAGGAGACTTGTGGGGAACAAACATCAGGAACGGTCTTCTCACTGTTGAAGAAGGTGTCCTAGGCAGATGGTATGCTGGGCGTATAGTTCTCGTAGGCGACTCAGTTCACAAGGTACAAATTCCCTTTGTCCCCGCTAGCAGACTCTTACCTGACCCAACAAAAGATGACCGCAGACATCGGTATGGGTGCCAATACAGGCATAGAACCTGCAGACTATCTCTGCAATATCCTCCACCGCGAGTTTGGCTCCACGCCCACTCGACACATCACGGATAACGAGCTTACTTCCCTCTTCGCCGAATATCAAGCTGGCCGCCACGAGCGAGCGAGCGCTTTTGTCCATGCGAGTGGTCAGGTGACACGTATGGATAGCTACCAAGCCTATCTTGGTCGCTTTTTTGTCGGGTATCTGGCGCCGTATATAGTACCCTTACAGAGGAAAGCTACTGCAAGGACGTTGGCTAAGGCTTCGAAAGTGGATTATGCGCCGACGAGGACAATCAATGAGAGCGCCGAGGGGTGGCGTCTGAATGAAGAGAGTGAGAAGGAGAAACAGAAGAACGTCGATTGGGCGAAGTATGTGTTCTTGACAATTATGCTAGCGGCGAGCTTTACGTATCTCCGACCTTGATGTCGTTGCAGTCTGATAGTCGCTCATTTCCATTGAACCTCTTACAGGATGATCCTCTCAGCTTATAGAACGTAGATCAAGCACGTTGTATATAGCATTCACAACACTTTCCTCCACCCGCATCCCTTGCCCGTCGAGAAACATCGGAACGATACGGCAGCAAACACGCCCAACAAAAATGAAGACGGCATTTCGTACCTACGATTCAGACAAATGTTAGCCTCGTTTTCCAATCCCTTCTACCCTCCTCTCTTCCAGAAGCAAGGTTGACTCACATTCCATATGATCACATCCCATGTTCTTCTCAATCGGTCTCTTACACCCAGGACATTGTTTTGTCGTCGCCGCCAACAACTTCTTACTAGCTTCTTCCTCCTCAGCTTTAATGTTAGCGTTGGTTCTGTAGTCGTATTCCCTGCATGTTTCGCCTTTGTGCCATTTCATATTGTGGACAACGCAGGAAGTCCTTTCGCAGCCGTCGCACCGGAATTTGGGGGTTTGAGGAAAATGCACTTGGCCGGATTTACAGCCCTTGAGGTTGCACCATCTGAAGCCCGGCTGTGCTTCCTTCTTTTTTCGATCGTAAAGTTTCATATAGCTGGAGGTCTTGTCAGTGCATCGAAGGGGGTAGGTTGTGGATGGAGAAGGGGTCTCGGTACCGTTTGAATATCTCCTTCGGGGCAAAATCTCGCATATCCGCGCTTTTTATTGAGATTAAGCAGCTGGGACATTTGATTTCATCCCACATCTTGGTATTGAATTCCGATTTAATCCATGTACGAAGACATTTCCGGCATACGTCGGCCCCGTGCTTACAATCCCTAGTAGGAGGCCGATCATGAAAATGATGCAAGGAGAGCGTATCGGTACAAACCATACACTCTCTCTTATGCTTATCCTCGGGTCGATAGATTTTGCGGTGAGCTTGGTGGCTGTCTTTTCGACTGACAGAGTTATGCTTCGTATCGCTTTTTTGAGTTCTATTACTCTTGATACCGTCAGACTCTGGCTTTTTCGGGGCCTCTTTAGGTTTTCGATTCTCAGCCGCTACTAATGATCCTTCTTTCGTTGTTCTTGCCGCAGACTTGGCATGAAGATGATGAGGTAAACGTGGAGGAGTCTGCCTGTGATCGCTTTGGTGTGATCTAGGAGTGGTGCGGTTCGAAATAGCCTGACCATCGCGGCGCCGTAGGTGGGAATTTGTACGACCTTGATGATTGATACTTGCATCGGTTCGGGTATTCCCTTTGTTTCGTTCCGATTTGGAAGCACTTTTCTTTCTACGTCGCTCATAAGTCGGATATTCCGCTGCTCGACTACTCCAAAACTGGCCCATGATTGTACCTAATTGCAGATGACGATTATGGAATACTCTAAGACTACCGGAAGGTCAATCCAATCTCCAGAGATCTAACACTTTGTCTGGTAGCAGTTGAAGCTGGAAGCTCGTGACGAACGTAACGGTCTTTGGCGTGGCTGGGCTACAAGTACGGGCGAAGTGCGAGGGTTACGTTATTGCAAACATAACCTAACTTGTGAGAAATGCATGAAATTTTAAGATATCCAGGATGGCGATGTTATCAGGCAAGTGCATGTTGAAGAGGATAGCTTTGTGCGCGGGGTCAGCCCATGGAACCGGTCACAGAACCGGTGAGTAAGCTGATTCGTAATTGGTTATCCTCCTCAGAGGACGGGTTGCCCTCCAAGAGGGCTGAGTACCATCTCAAAGACACCCATAGAAGCTTTGTGGTAGGTATCCAGCCTATCAAATGACTTCGATGTACAAAAGAGTATATCTGTACCCGTGCCTCGCTTCGCTATCACGCACCTCAACGGTAGTACCAACCAGATTCGTAACGGTTGCCATAGCAGTCAAGTTCGCCAGCTTCTGAGTTTACTGGCTTCCTCAGGACTGTAATGTCTCCAGGCCAGTATCCCTCCACATCCGGTTCAGCCTCGCCCATCGCCACTAAATTGTTATAAGCGGCTTTCCTTTGTCTGCGAAATTTTCCTATCTCTCCTGTCACATCAAGCAACGGCCCCGTTTCAATTATGTTTTTGCTTGGCTCTGTCGGTACGGCAGGATGGCTAGGTGCAAGTTCTAGCCCATCCATAGCTGCTAAAGGAAGGGTGCGATCTGGCTCACGACCGGGTTGCCCGCACTCTTCGTCATCGAAGAAGGAGAAGTCATGCGCTGCAGCGTCCCAAAATGCTTCTGAGTCTCTGTCCTCTGTAGATGATTTCGTTGGATAAGCCCGCCAACTACTGGTGATCTTCTTTGGCGTTGGCTGCGGGGGCGCCATCTCAAGCACCACTCTTCGAAGGGCGAATTGGTTGCATGCATACTCTTCTTCTGCAACGATACGTCTCCGGCCCGGTGGAAGTACGTATGTATGTCTAGCGCGCTTCCTAGCAATTGAGGCTTCCTCAGCCGCGTCCTGGATGTATTGTATGATTCGATGAATAATTTTCTTCTCGATTGTCATGGTTGGTACGCCGGTGAGAACAAGAGTGTGAAGCTTCGGAAGCATTCCAGGATGTAGTCGAGGCTGAGATGCTTGACGAAAGTCCAAACGAGCTTTCCTGTCTTCGATGTAGTAGAAGGAGCTCGCCCGAGACCTAATCGCAGTATTGCCTGTCAGCTGGGACGGCATGTTACTATCACAAGTTGTTGTGGGTGGTGCAATAGTTCCTCGTGTGTTAGGAACACCTTTAGCTGAGCCAGGCTGGTAGTTCTCATCGATCCTTAGGGGGCTAAGTGGAGTCAACGGCGGATCTACAGGCATGGGCTCTGGGGCATATGCAGGGCCTCGATTGATCTGTAGTGGCTGCACAGTAACGCTTATTTCAGGAACGATTGTGGCGCTCTGCTTGCCATTATCGGCGCTGCCCAAAGTTGATTTGATAAGTGCTGAGGACAGAGATGCTGTTGGCGAGCCAGGAAGCTCAGCCGGGTATGATGCATCCCCAGGCGCCTCAAGAACAGCCGCAGATTGCGAATCAAGCTCAGCTATCGGTAGTTGGACAGCTTCGAGTTCATGCGCACCTGTAGGCCTATATATGCCAAGGTCCCCGTCGAGTTCCGCGCGTGGCGATCTGGGCACTTCGAGAGGCGCATCTTCTGTTACCAATTCGTAGTTGATCCTCAGATATCTCAGGTTACCCGAAGCATACTCATTCAGAACGGGAGCGAGTTTTGATACGCTAGGCAGCTCTAAGTCGTTGTCCGGTGATCCTGGCGAGACGGCAGTAGGATTTCTCACTACAGCAGGTAGTATGCCTACATCCAGGACCTGCAAACGCCCAGACCGCAGTAAAGCCGATATACCTTCAACAGTTACGGCGTTGCTCGAGAGAAATAAATGTGATACTCCGACATCGCTGGTTTCCTCTATTGCAAGGCTACCGACGAAACCCTCAGTGAGTTTCTTGCGAAGATGACCCACAAGATTTTCTGACTCGAACGCCCCCGGTTCGTCTGTAGGGACTGCATTCTGAACCGGCGGCAGTGGGGCACGAGAGGTATGCGCTGCAATAGTAGTCTCTTTCAAGCATAACTCGAGAAGGAGTCGAACGCTAGTGTCTGTCAAGAAGTTGTTGCTTATGTCAAGACTTCTAACACGACTTCCAATTGCGTGCGCAACTATCGAAAACTCTTCATCCTTGATTCCAGTGCTACGGAGGTTCAGGACTCTTAGATTCCGGAGGTACTTTAGAGTGGATAGAACTGCCTTGTCTCTCGCAGCTGCAGTTTTTGATAGATCCAATGAGACGAGATCTGGAAAATGTGGTAAGGCTTCAGCAAGACCCATTGATGTTGCATTCATGCAGCTGGAAGCGTCGAGTAGGCGTAAGCCGAACACTGGATACGCAGTGGGGCGAGCTGACCTCCATCGCAAACTCGAGTGTCGCAGGCTCAAGAGAGAAGCATGATCGAAGAATGGCAGGCCATCTACGATCAAGCACTGTAGACGAGGCAGGTGCTCGAGGCAGTCTCTGAGCCATTCTGCATGCGGTCCATCATACAGCTCTGCATGGGCTGGCGGAAAACGTAAAGTATGCGTAAGCTCCCGTACGGAGGCTCGCGCATAAGGCAAAGTACGCTTAAACCGTGTGAGTGCCACTATCAGGCGTTAGATAGTAGACCAGCCTTCATGTTGTAGTACCTTACCATAAACAGTATCGTTTTCGACCCCAAAATGTGAGGCTGGACTACCCCAGAGGTTCGGTGTGAAAGTTTGGTGCCATTGCCGACAAACTAAAGCTGCAGAGCACAGATCTTGAGAGGGCAGATACGGAGCGACGAGCACCCAAGGATCGCGTCGCATCACGCTTTCGTAGGATGGAAGAAGGTCGTCCATAGTGGCTAGTGGACACGAGTAGCATTTAAAGAGCCGTAGTGTTGTTATGGCATATCCGTTCTATCGCCACTCAAAAACTTAGTGGAGATGAGGAACGGGAATACAGACACGAGTACAGATTTCGCCCACGGCAGGATGTGCACGCGCATCGTTTGGTAGACGGTGGATGGTAGGCTGAGTCGTGAGGCTGTGTTACGGTTGATCGGCTCACTGCTGCAGCCCTGCGAATGATGCAACAGATAGCGGGCCCGACTTCCTAACCCAATTTGGCGACCTCGCTATCAAAAGATTACCTACTTGCTTGCATCTGGCGACAACACTTTATGCCTGCGCGAGTTGGCGTTTTGTCTTCTAATGGTGGCACTCATGACCGAAAAGTCTTTCAGCCGCAGTAAAAACGAGATATTTAAATATCGAAAAGCTTGTCGCTATGTATTCTGATGCTGCCTTCTCACTCATCAGCTGGTAACATCCATGATTTCGCTTGCAAATTTGCTTCTCGCTCTGATCCTAGGACCATAGAAGACCAGGATCCAAGGTACTATGGTTAACAATGCGCCAATTCCTCCCAGTAGACTACTTGCTGGACCGTAGCCAAGTTTATTATACATTTGAGTTGTGATAAGTGGGAAGATTCCGCCTGTATCGAAGTCAGCATATGTCCACTAGTCATCAACGAAGACGACTCACCAAGCATGTTACGGCAGAAAGACTGCGCCGCTAGTGCTGAACTCGCATAGCGATGATATGTATCTGCGAGAAAGTTGAAGGTCGCAAGGTAGATGCTGAAGATTCCAATAGTAGCAATACCAATTGCGATTGCTGGTACAATCCAATGGATATCAGGGAAGCTCGTCCAACCGAACATGAAAAGACCAATAGGCATACAGGCGCTTTCTATGCAAGCAAAGTAGAGGCGGCCTTCGGGAGTGCCCGTTAGCTTTCCGTTCCTCTTCGCAATTTTCTCTTGGTAAATTGACAATATAGTCGAGAAGATACTAGCTATTCCCATAGATGCGAAGACAGCGTTGGCTTGTTGTAGTGAGAAACCATGGTTGCTCTGGAACACCAGTGGAATGGCCGCTAGAGTGAGATAAAGTACAGCCCAGGAAAAGGCCACCCAGAGCGAGAACCAGAATACTACGGGTTCGGTGAAGAGAAGATGGAATGGTCGGTAAAGAGAGACTCCTATCATCTTGCTGAGAGAAGCCCGTTCCTCATCTGATCGTACTTTCCATCTCAAACGTTGCGATACCATGTTCTCAGGCTTTTCGGCATCGTGGATGTTGAAGCCATAATATCCGGATGCCTCGCGGGCCTCATACCACTTGTTCAAAGCTTTGGCCTTCTTGGACAGAAGAACTGAACCGCGGGTTTCTTTAAATACGACACACATCAGCACGACCACTGCCGCGCATGCAATAGCTTGTACGTAGAATATCCACCTCCAAGACGTGTTCTGTGCAATAAAGCCACACACTAATGGCCCCCAGGAAGTGCCGAACAACGCAGCGCCCGAGAACAGAGCCATGGGGGTGTTGCGATCCTCAGCATGGTATATGTCAGACACCACTCCGCCAACCATAGTCGAGAATGTAGATCCACCTACACCCAAAAAGAACCGCGCAACGAGCATACCGGCATAAGACTGCGTGAGGCCAGAGCAGAGCTGACATATCACAAATAGTATACCAGAAGCGAGGAAAACTGGTCGTCGGCCATTGATCTCAGAGAAGGGGGCCAGAACCATCGGCGCGATGGCGAAGCCAGTCGTAAAGGTCGTGATGCCGACAAGCGCTGCAACACTGCTGACACCCCATTCCTGCGTCATTTGCCCAACGCCCGGGCTGTAAGCTCCGGCTGAGAACGCAGTAAGCGCCGTGATGAAACATGACACGCATATCGTGAATCTTTTTCTTGTCTCTGACCAATCGAAAGGGTTTGTATATCTGGCAAGGTTTGGGGGCCCAGGTGGAGCTTCCTGATCGGGTTGCGTCGGATGGATAGTCGTCGGATGTGGAAGTTCGATGTCGAATGTGAGATATCGCCAAACGACTTCTGAACTCTGGATGTCTTTTTGCGATGCGAATTCGCTACTGGCGCTGTTCTTTCCATGATAGTATTCTTTCTCTGGCTCGTTGTCTGGTTCGGTTGTGGAATCGTAACTTGCGGGTGCCGAAGTCCTGTGCATGTCCGGCAATATGCTTATTCCCGCTTGGCTTCGCGAATCGGTAGCTCCAAGCTCAGAGGTCTGTGGAAGGTTGATCTCTGGATTGGCAGACATGCTGCCACGAACTCCTTCTCTTCAATAGAAAGGCCAAAAGGGTGTGCTGGAGATATCGTAATGAACGCGTCAGAGTTCAAGAGCAAGCGTGAATCCGGTGACGATGAAAAGCTCGACCTTCATAGCTTAAGCGGCGGGTTAGGTCTGGTCCGCTAACCCACACACCCGTAGCCGAAATGTATCCCAACGAACAACTGGACGGTGTGAGATGCCCGGTTCTATTCCGAAGTGGTGGACAAAAGTTGATTGTATTGGTCGGGAATAGGAGTACTTCTCCATCGTCCAGGCCCGCCTTGCATGGGGCGTCCCGCTTCGGGCTAAACTTGGGAATTATCGTGCTCACCGACACGCCAAGGCCGCCTCAAAATCTTTGAACTGGGCGGAAAACAGGGTCGATCTGATGCGTCATGCGGGAAGGATGCTGGTGTGCCTCGAACAGAGAAAACTCAACCCGGAAGAGCGAATGGCTCCCCGAAGCGGGAAATACCGGCACTTTCCCAAAAGCAAACACTTTCTTCGCTCTCCGATTCTGCGATAACCGGTACAAGATGTAATGTCTTTGAAAAGTGGGGATAGCGGATGTTTAGTCTCGGATGTTCGGCCTAAATGTTCGATGAACCGCCAGGCGCAGAGCAATTCGGAGCTGCGCAAGGCTGCTGCCAGGGGACCGCATGGAGGAGTAGAAGTAGTGATGTTCGTATGTAACACATGAATCTGCACCCTTCATGTCGCACCGGCTGCGAGAAGCTTGACGAAGTGGTATATGGTGACCCGGTGATGAACGAAACTTCCTTCAATCGCTTTGCCAACTATATAGGTACCGGGGTACGCAGTCGAGCTACCCGCCATGACACCAACACCAACATAGACAAGTAGACAGTAGGCACGTTGCAAAGCCTGACGTCCTTAGGATCTCGCCTCACATGAACGGTGGTCTTGTCATTGAACGGTTCGCGAATAATCTGACCCGATTTGGAGGATGCTTACCCAGCGCATACTAAGGCAGCGATGAGGAATTTCTTATCTGTCTCATTGGCTTCTATCAGCCTCTAATTGCGACAAATGCTCGGCAGGATGGGGCGACTCATTGGCAGTGCAGGACCGCCGGAGATATCGAGTCTATGATTCGCCTGCTGGCCAACGACGTGGAATATTCGAGCGGCAGAAAAGCTTTGATGGAGATGCGTGATATGACGCCATATACGCTAGCTGGAAGTGTTGCTTGTCGATTGTTAGGTACGGGCTTTACAAGAAGACAGATGACCCCACTAACTCGACTCTCCCTCTGACAAACCTACAGCTTCTTAATCAATCGCTCGGAAGATACTTTGACATCTTCTTCAAGCCCACTTGCACACGGAAATAAGATCCAGGTATGGCAACTTGCTTTCGCGTGCCCCGCCACGTACCCCACATGTTTGCGGAGTTTGCTTGGACACGACTGACGATGTACAAGACTTCGACTCTCCTTCTAACAAATTAATCAGAAGATACTTTGACATCCTCTTTAAGCGCACAATGAGCGACCGACCAGAACCCCTTAGACTCGGCTCCAAGGCCCCCAATTTCAAGGCCGAGACGACCCAAGGACCCATCGACTTCCACGAGTTCATTGGCGACAACTGGGTTGTTCTTTTCTCCCACCCAGAAGACTATACTCCTGTATGTACTACTGAGCTCGGTGCTTTCGCCAAGTTGGAGCCTGAGTTCAGCCGTCGCGGTGCCAAGCTCATTGGTCTCTCAGCCAACACAGTAGAAAGTCATGGAGGCTGGATCAAGGACATTGACGAGATCTCGGGAAGCAGCCTCAAGTTCCCCATCATCGGCGATAAGGACAGGCAGGTCGCCTTGGCATACGACATGTGAGTAGGAGAAATCACACGATGCTAGTGACACGCGTCTGACAATCGCCAGGATCGACCACCAAGATGCCACCAACGTCGATAGCAAGGGAATCGCCTTTACAATCCGCTCAGTCTTCATCATCGACCCCAAGAAGACCATCCGCCTCATCCTTTCTTACCCAGCAAGCACAGGCAGGAACACCGCTGAGGTACTTCGCGTCTTGGACAGTTTGCAGACTGGTGACAAGCACAAAATTACTACTCCCATCAACTGGGTTCCAGGTGATGACGTTATCGTTCACCCCTCTGTTAAGACCGAGGACGCCAAGACCATGTTCCCCGATATCAGAATTGTTAAGCCCTACCTCCGCTTTACTCCTCTCCCGTAAGTTTTCTAGTTACGAAATGCTTTCGAGACATGCGCTGACTTGATAAACAGGAAAGAGAAGACGACTGCGGCATAGACGCAAACGTTATCGACGATAAGATACCTTGAGATGAGACAATTATGACAGCCTATACCAATATTGTGGCGATGGCTGTTGGGATCCATCGAATAATTATAGCCCAGACTATGCTTAGCTGTAAGAATAGACAAGGCAAAATCATGAGAATGAAGTTGGTCTACCTTCGCATGCTTTCCAGGTCGTGTCTGATAGCCATGCTATGCTGATATCACTTGCGACTATTGGTCAGCAACGTCACGTTTCGTGGGCCAAAGTTACCTTGCACCGTATACGAGGGAAAAACCGAACAGGTGTAGACATAACAAGCTTTACCTTACAGCCTACATTATCTTCTAATAACATAGCTTATTAAGATTAACAGTATTATAGTCTTCTAAGTTTTGAATCTATATCTATATAGCTCTCTGTATGCTCTTTTGTAGTAGGAAGGAGTACTGTTAGAGATGAAGTTTTTTTTTTCTCTTGATACAGTGTTGCAAGCCGTGTGTTGATAAGACGTTCAAGTGTATTCTGTAGTTGCCATCAGGGAACATGGTACCGAGGTGGGACTGGCGGGCTTTCGAGTGGGCTGGCGGACCATGCGAGCGTGTCCGCTTACCCTCGTATCCATCATCACCTAACCTCTTGGAGTGATTCCTGGAGCCAGAGTAGCAGAGTCGTCAGCGTCGAAGAGGATGTCAGAAGAGTGGAAAGGTGAAGAAGAAGAGAAACAGGGAGTGAGCGACGGGAAAGGCGAGACTAAAAACGGCGGGAAAAGAGCAGTAAAGGTCTCAAAAACATAATAACAGATGAGAGTGTTCCGAGGTTTACCAAGCTCTTTCTTTTGCGATGTACCCGAGTCATGCGTTTCGCAAACATACGCGTCCTTTGCGAGACTCAAAGCAACGCGGTTTGGGGAATATCGATTAGTTTCTCCATGTACAGTGTTGTAACAAAGGCGCGATACTAGGTCGTCTTTTCGTCGGCTTTGAAGCGCACTGCTAGCACCTGGGCTCCAATTGGAAATTAAGAGCGACGGTGCGAAATAGCGAGAGGCTACGTCTCGGTCCAGTCCGACGCACCACCAGGAAGCCTCCGACTACCAAAGTAACTTCCAAATACCGCTTTCCCAGGTACTAGCCCAGCTTCACCGATCATCCGATATGAACATCCAGATGGGCCTCCTACGCTAACAGCGCCTCTAATCTTGAACATACGATTGTTGATTTGTTGCCCCAACATTCATTGCGCTAATTTGTTTTCGCGACCGTGCTCTTGCGTCGATGAATCCTCTTTGCAAGCCTTGCTGAGCCAAAAGTGTGCAGTGCCCTCGCATCTCGAGAACGGACGTCAGTATCGCTGGTATCGCAGGTATCGCACACTGACGTCCTTGCGGCCTGAAATTGGCGCCTGTGGCTCGGGGTACCCTCTAACGGTCTGATTGTCAAGTCTCAGCCTATCATTCCAGCTCGGATCTCCCTCCGCCTCCACACCCTCCGTCGCCTGCCCTGCCTACTACTGTTTCACCCCACCGGAAAGTCTTCAGCTATCAGAGTGCTGCAGCCGCTCTGCCTCTGAATACGTCCAACATCGATACCTTGCTAGCGAACCTGCAGGCGCCAGGACTGACGATTCTCGCCAAGGCTCTAGTCCATTTTCAGCGTAGAGGCCTCCACACGAACCTCGCTGTCATCTGTATCGCGCGAGTTCAGCAGCACCACGCGTTGAATACCGCCTCTTCCTTCTCTGCATACGTCTACCGTTCCCCTGGATCATCTTCCCCGCTCGCTCCCGTGTGTGGCGATTCTCTCTCAAAAGTAAGGCTCGTCTTCCTTTCATAAGCCTGCACCCCTCTCTTTGTTTCGTTTGTCGATTTTCAGCCCATGCAGCCAGCATCAACATGTTGTGTTGTTTTCCCTTCCCGTATCCTTAGCCATTACATCTCCAAAAGAGCTGGAATTTTTCATTGTACTACCATAAGGCGCTGCGTCGTAAGATCACTGTTCGTATCACGATAGCAAGTCGCACTGCAGCAACATGCCTTTCCCTAATGTGTAAAGATGGCTTGTCAACTTGTGGTAGGGCCTTTCTTTGTAACCCGTACCTTGCAAAGACGCCTGCATTGGAAGGATGTTGCAGCCCATGACAGACCATTTCAAAACCAGGCCATTCCTCATCTTTCAGCATTACTTTGCATCTCCAATCTCATCCTGCATACTGGTCGCTAACCATGGCACTGCCTCTAGGTTTATTCTATCCCTCTGTCGGTGCTAGTACCGAGCGATTGGGCGACACATCGTTGTTTTGGAAAAGACCAAGAGAAATAAACAACAGACAGGTCTTGACCAGAAAGAAACGTTCTGTCGACTCTACGGGTTCTCTTTCCAACACTTATCGCAGGGTCCACTTGGGAACTCCACTGGAATCCAATTGGTCTCGTCGAATCGGATCTAAGCACGTGCCCATCGTCCATGATCAGATTGTAACACCTAAAAGCCTCTGTACGAGTTTTGACCTCAGCTCTCCGCCATCGAGTAGCTGTCCTGGCCTCTCCGGAATTCCCTGGCAGAGCAGCAAATCCCTGAGCAGATCTCTTAGCGTTAAGTCTCGTCATGTGGAGATTGTGATACCAAACTGGGCTATACCTCTACAGAAATTCTCATCCTCTTCCGTCGAGCTACTTCTTGATCCCGGTGGACCTCAGCACGTTACTGCTTCGCTACAAAGCCCGCGCAGCATGGCTAGCCGAACTCACACCCTGGATTCCCAAACATCGGCACCTTTTACATCGAGTTTGAACAACAGCCAAACAAGTTTGAACCATCAAGATGGCCAAGATGGCGGATCCGACCGGCCACCAACATCTTCAACTCGGACGCCTGGCATGTCTCAGTCTCCAGCTATGCTCGCAGGACTTACAACACCGACAAGTTCAACGGCAGGACTGTCGGGTCTAGTCTGCAATGTACATCGTACAACTGGAAGAGAACCGCATCCCCTCGTGGGCGCCACTACCACCATACTAGGCGACAAATTATATGTTTTTGGCGGCCGCCGACTCTCCCGGACGAGACCGCAGCTTACGTCGGACTTGTACGAACTCGATCTCGTCAAGCGCCACTGGACAAAGGTCGATGCAAAAGGTGACATTCCGCCTCCTCGGTATTTCCACAGCGTCTGCCCACTTGGTGACACGAAACTCGTCTGTTATGGAGGCATGTCACCTGTAAGTCCGTCTTCTAACCAAGCAACTTCTGTGATACAAGGTGCTCCTGCCGATGCTCAGCCTGAAGTGGTGGTCATGTCCGATGTCCACATCTACGATGCGCTTACAAGAGAGTGGATGCATGTCGCCACAACCGATCCACCCCAAGGTCGTTATGCGCATTGCGCAACCATACTCCCAAGCTCTGCCGTTTTCAGTTCGACATCAGCCGCTGTAACAGCCATACGGCACAACCCACCTTCATCGAATCCAAACCAGGGTTCTCTTGGCGTGCAGTTGGACGGCGAGGGTGGCGCGGAGATGCTCGTCGTGGGCGGGCAGGACAGTGCCAACCACTACATTGAGCAGATTAGCGTTTTCAATCTCCGGAGCCTCAAATGGACAGAAACGAGCACATTAGGCAGAAGTTGCGGCGCTTATCGAAGCGTGGTTGCGCCTCTCACCAGTATCGACCCCAGCGATATTGGCGGAGGAACACGTCAAGCTGGCGAAGCAAGAGCACCCGAAGAGCGGATCTCCAACAAGACTGGCGAGTCATCAATGCTCATATACTCCAACTACAATTTCCTAGACGTCAAGCTCGAATTGCAAGTACGGCATCCCGATGGAACCCTGTCCGAGAAGCCAATGCACGGCAATTTCTCGCCACCAGGCCTCCGATTTCCAAACGGCGGTGTCATAAACAATCACTTTGTAGTAAGCGGTACATTCTTGACCTCCTCAAAACAAGAATATGCTTTATGGGCTCTCGACTTGCGAACACTAAGTTGGGGCCGCATCGAAGCTGGTGGTAACATCTTCAGCCAGGGTAGCTGGAACAGAGGAGTGTTGTGGAACCGTCGAAATAGCTTCGTTATTCTTGGAAATCGCAAGAGAAGTCTGGTCGAAGACTACAATCATCGGCGCATCAATTTCTCAAACATGTGCGTGGTTGAACTAGAGGCATTCGGACTCTACGATAATCCACGCAAAGTAACACCAGCATCGGGATTCAGCTCTGCAAGCGCACCGCCCCAGCACGATCGACTTGATATGCTTGCAGGTGGTCGCACGTTATTACCCGCGGCCACCGAGCTAGGTCAGCTGGCTTTAGGTATGCGAGAACTTGCGGACATGGATTTCCTAGCCTTACACGGTGAGCGCATCCCCGTCAACTCTCACATTATTGCTCGACGCTGGGGCCCCTATTTCAATCAGCTGCTCCGCGAGAGTGCCCAAAGCGCTGAGAAGGAAAATGCTGAGGCAGCGACTCTACGACCTACTGCCACAATGCATCCATCAAGGAACTCGAGCATCACCATTACACCTTCTATCAGGACGACTTACTCAACCGCAACAACACTCACCGCCAACACTATAACGCCATCCGAGGCCACAGCCGTATCAGCGAACTCTTATTCCTCACTGAGCCCCCCAGAACCTTCATCGCACTCGCCATTGCAACGGCCTCGAACATTATTCCTCCCACACACACATCTTACACTTCAAGCCCTTATACATTTCCTATACACATCATCACTACCACCACATAACTCACCCCTATGCTCACCGCAGATTCTTTGTTCTCTACTTCAGCTGGCGCGACCATACCACATTGACGGGTTACTGGAAGCGATCATCGAGAGACTTCATATCTTATTAGACAACAGAAACACTGCGGCAATCTTCAATGCTGCAGCCATGGCGGCTGGCGGCGGCTCCGGTATCGCGTTCAAGGGTGTCAACGGCGTATCAGGCACGAACGGAACAACGAATGGCTTCTCAGCCTCTGTTTCAAGCAACAACACTACAGTTGCCGACGTAGAACGGAGCCTGGATGCTGGCCTTCGCGCACTCCGCGTCAACACTGATGTAGATCGGAATCACGATGACGAAGTCAGCTCAGCGGCGTCTGAAGCAACATCAGCTTCAGCATCGGATAGTGGATTTGGAGATGGAAGTGGCATCGAAGACCGAGAGACATGGAACGGGGAGATGAGTGCAGTAGTTGGGCTACAAAAGCGAGGACTGAGGGGCCTCATGGAGGGCCGCAGAATCAGGGAAATGGGTAGAGGAAGAGACAGAAGCAGAGACGATGGCGCCATGGGCAACGGAGATGGAGTTGGCCTTGGCTTGCAGGGCGCTTGATAAGAAGACAGAAGCGGACTGGCAAGACTGGTCATCTATATAGCGAGAAGGGGTTGGTAGAGAGTGGCGTTCGTTCTTTCTTCGATGAGAAATTTTCATGATGATATTGGAAATCTAGGGATTTGATATAGGTGAACCCAACGTAGGGACCGCTATGAATTCCCGTACCTCCATTGGCATACTCTTGGTGCCACCTTCTGCAACCGATGGCATCTTCGTCTTCGTTGCGATACACGCATAGCCGCTACTACATGCACGGAGAGGCGGAGGGTAAGTCTCGTTTGCGAAGCTCCCCGCAATCTCAGAAGGCTCGTCCTGGTAGCGATCTTGGAAGTATAGGGGCCACGGGCTTGTTGCGGAGTTCAATACTTGTTCTTGGCCGTGGATGCATTCTCACTTTGCCTCTGGGAAGTGGCGCTGTAATGAGTCAACGAACTCGATGAGAGCACACAGCGTCCTTGTTGCCAGCTCCTCGACAACGGCAAACATCCTCTCTTGTGGACACTGGCTCACTTCTCTCAACGATACACTCTGGCAACCTCAGGTACTCTCGGCATATATGGTGGTGGTGACGCCTCGAATGCGCCTTTCTCATCCCAACCCCCCGTCTTCCCCCTGATCGTCCTTCCAGACGGGAATCTCACTGTCGCCACGCCATCTTCAGTTCTGAGCACTTTGAGCCCATCTCCCAGCCCACCATTGGCGCGCACAGCGCGTTCTCGAGCGTATCTGCGACTGCGACTTCGCACGTACACCAAGCTGAGTATGACGCCGACAAAGGCACCGACGAAAATGATGATGACGAGGATGATGGTGCGGTGCGTTGTGCAGGAAGAGTCATAGGCTGTTTCGCAGTACTCTGAACGTCTTAAGAGTGTAAACGAGTCGTCTAGGGTGAGAGTGTGTGGTGCCATTGAGTGAAGTGGCTGGCTGTGTGTTATATGATGATGTTTTGTTTGCGATGTGTGAAGAGCAAAGAAGTACCAAATGATGGACTTGTATACGGAATCTGGCCTCGAAGCGCGAATCTACCTACTACATATCTCTTTTTGCGACCTCGCTGTCTTAATCAATCAGTTCAGTTCACATACACAACAAACCCATTCGCCGGCCTAAGGCGCAGCAGCCTCACAAGATATTCGCGACTTCAAGGATCCCATGCATCCTCAACAACGCCTCAATCAACTTGAGAGAGACATTCCTACCTGTGCCCTCCTCAGGCGTCAAGGCGGGTCTCATCTTGCGATTCCCGTTGGACGACGGCTTTGCTGGCGCCTCTAATCATCTGCATGCACTGCCCCGCCCGTTGGGCCTTGGGTCAGCCTCGTCGGGCGGCTTTTGGCGTCCCAGCCCATGCGAGTGAGGCGCACCGTATGGCCATTTGGCAACCTTATTCTTTGTGAGGTCATGTATTGAGTACAATGAATGGAAAAACCTTCTTTTGCATGAGTTGATGATACCTAGATAATGGTGACGCTTGCAGCGTGGGAGTCGCGAGGGCGGACCGCCATGCCTGTGACCCGCGACAGCACCCCTTTCGAACGCGCATAACAGGTGGACATGTCCAAATATAATTGACATATCTTTAGTGATACAAGACATCTGTTGTTTCAATGCCTTATGTTGATATCCACTTTCAGCATCTGGCATTTCAATCTTACAGCTAAGCTGTTGGACGGCGCTTCGCGACACAGGACTGTGCCACACCAGCGCGCATCACGCTGGGACTTAGCTGTGCCTTTTTGATCGCGGGATTCGACCAAAACTCCAGGCATCGTACCATTGCGTGATTGTGTAATCATACCCTAGGCGGTCTTCAAGGCGGTTGCTGAGCGATCAGACCCGCAGCGGTTCAAGTGATGAGAGGGCGCAGAGGGCGCAGTTGGCAAGGCTGTTGCAGGTTGAGTCAAGATGATGCATTGAGGATGCGATTCGCCAGGAGGACAATTGTGTAAGCATCAATCTAATGCTGACACCATGTTTCCGTCATAAAGCAGTTCCTCTTTTGTGTGTTCCATCAAGCTCTGCGTTCATCTGTTGAACAGTTCCAAAGTTGTATGTAGGTTGGCTGCAAAAGCGTGAAAAGGTCCATGGCCTTCTGAAAGCGCCTTTTGCGTGATGAAAGGGTTCAAGAGCGCATAATACTGCACCATTTTGGGTACGAAGCTGTACAGGAACAAGTCACTATCGTAATGGTTTGTGTCTCGAACTGATGATGCCATTTTGGTTGACTTAAGTACTTAGGTAGTATACCATGCAAACACGTATCCCAAACTTCACGGCCGTAATAAATTCATGTCCCGAACCCGAGCCGAACGCACTCGTCTCGAGGCCGGGTATCGTACTGGCCCTTGGTCCAAGCCACGCAAGGTCGACGTGGTTGACGTTCCAAAAAAGTATACCAGACATCCCCCGCGGGGGCCTTTCGGTATGCCCAATCGGGCAATCCATCGAAGATGCCGGTATGCTTCCCCGCAAACAAGAGTATTGGAGTCTTCCACAATCGTGCCATGCATGCAATGGAGGAAGACAGTCCGAGGCCAGGCCTACTCCAAGAAAGTCCGGTGACCAGACTCTCCGCCTGGGGCCGGTTTAAAATCCACAATGGTCCCGGTTTGCGTCGACTCTACGAACCGATCTCGCATTCCTTTTCTGTGTATAAATACTTGACTTTGAGCGACCTTGTTTGCGCATACCCCGATTTCTATAATATCTCCACCTTTTATCTTGCACAATCGAGTCCAAATGATCCAAACCATGCCAAAGACTCAAGGACTTCCAGAGTTTAGCCTAGCGGGGAAGGTAGTGTTGGTGTCGGGTGCTGCTCGAGGACTCGGTCTGACACAAGCCGAAGCATTGCTGGAAGCTGGCGCACGAGGTATGTCTTTCCAACGAGCTGGACTGTCGAGAGCTTGGACAGACAACTAACACGCGTGCACAGTATACGCACTTGACAGACTCGAGGAACCCTCAGCAGACTTTGCGCCAATTGCTGAGAAAGCAAAGAACGAACTCGGAACTTCGCTCGAATACCGCCAAATAGACGTGCGAGATGTCAAGAAGCTCCATGAGATTGTTGAGGACATCGCCAACAAGGAGGGTAGACTTGACGGGCTGATTGCTGCGGCCGGCATCCAACAAGAGACGACTGCATTGGAATACACTGCTGAGGATGCAAACCGCATGTTCGAAGTCAACATCACGGGAGTCATGATGACTGCGCAAGCGGCTGCGAAGCAAATGATCAAGTTTGGAAGTGGCGGAAGTATCGTGCTCATCGCGAGCATGTCTGGTACAGTTGCAAATAGGGTACGACTACCTCGACTCGTTACCATGCCTTGTGCTAACCAAGTCAACAGGGTCTAATCTGCTCGGCATACAACGCGTCGAAAGCCGGTGTCATGCAGCTCGCGCGCAACCTCGCGTCAGAATGGGGCGAGCATAATATCCGCGTCAACACAATCTCGCCAGGGTACATTGTGACTGCAATGGTGGAGGAGCTCTTCAAGAAATACCCAGAGCGTAGAGACACGTGGCCGACACAGAACATGTTGGGTCGTCTGTCAAAGCCTGAGGAATACCGTGGTGCAGCGGTGTTCTTGCTGAGCGATGCGAGTTCGTTCATGACGGGGGCGGACCTAAGAATGGACGGCGGCCATGCCGCGTGGTAGAATAGATAGTTGAATGGTCATACAGCACTACCATGTTCAAAGCATGCGTCCTCTGGCTTTGTTGCGTGAAGGTGTTCTACCCAATGCGAAGCTTCGGAAGTCCGTGAGCTTGGTGCTGAGTCAGCCGCAATTGTCGCAATGTGGGTAAGAGGGCCCAGGGTTACAAGCACTCTGGTCAGAGCGCGTCTGATGGTTCCTTCGAAGCCATGAAGACGTCAAACGGGTGACTGCAGTACTCTTGGTAGGACGTTACCTGCCATGTTCTTCCCAACCTCTATTCTATCATACCTGGACTGCGCATTCACCAGCCACCGCTCGTCTGAGTCGGCTCTAGCATGACGGCGTCAACGCCCTCTACCGTATCCCGCTATACGCCCGCTATATTGTTCCTCACCGGTGTGTCAGCTGGATACGCGGCATACCTCATCTACAACACGGTCCAAAGCCCTGGCCCGGGCGATGGCCTCCAGCGCAGCAACGCGGTCCGCAGACGGCGCCCGCGAGAACCACCGCCAGCACCTGCCCTCCCATTGAACGAGCGCGACATACCCTTTCTGGGCCGATACGATTTGCTCGGTACCGAAGTGCCCCTCGACCCTCGTAACCTCGTCACCCCAACAGAGCTGCGCGACATCATCCTAAGCGCGCAGCCAGATGCCCAACATATCGTAATCGAAAATGCCATAACAAGCCTATACAACGAGTTCCTCGACCGACTGCTGGTCATACTCTACCCCGATCGAGCCCTGTCCCCATCACAGGCGGACAGTGTCGCAACTTGGCTGAACGCCCGCAATCCGAACATCACGGTACTGGATCGTGCCCAGATAGCCCGCGCCGTGGCAAGACATGCGCAGATATTCCCTCCCGGTGACAGCCTTGCTCTCGATGATGCTGAGAGTATCGCAGCTACAGATTTGTCCTTGGGGAGCGACGAGGACGCGGATGATGCCATTGACCCCGAAGGCCAGACCCTTCAGCGCACCTTGTACCACATTGCAGAGGACCGCGCGAGGCTCGAGGGCGTTATACATCGTGGCATTACGTGCAACGGGTGCGACGAGAAGCCTATCCGAGGCACCAGGTGGCACTGCGCCAACTGTCCAGACTTTGACCTGTGCTCCAACTGCGAAGCAACCAATTCGCATTACAAAAACCACATCTTTTACAAGATTCGCGTGCCTGCGCCATACCTGAGTCTCCCAAAGCAAGAGCCCCTCTATCCTGGCAAGCCTCACATGATGAGCCCCTCGATCGATCCAGCACTCAAGAGACGCCTCGTAGCCGAAACCAAGATGGAAGCAGAGGAGATTGAGGCCTTGTGGGACCAGTTTACTTGTCTCGCAGGGGCCGAGTGGGCAGCTGATGCCAATGGGGTAGGATGGGCCATCGATCGACGCGACTTTAATCACGCATTCGTGCCTCGCTACAATGGCTTCGTCGCCGCACCGAACCTCGTCTACGACCGTATCTTCGCATACTATGATACGGATAAGAATGGGCTCATCGGGTTCGATGAGTGGGTCAAAGGGCTCGACGGCATGCACGACACTGATGCCCATGTCAAGGCCAGAATAGTCTTCAATGGATACGACATCGACGGAGATGGCTATATATCGCGCAGGGACATCCTGCGCATATTCAGAGCATACTATGCAATCGAGAAGGAAGCTACAAGAAACTACATCTCGGAGCTGTCAGACGAAGTCACTGTGCGGTCAGCTTTGGACACGATTCGCTCTAGCCAGCCCCTGGGCTCCGCATTTCCGCCCCGCAGTATGGCTGCATCGAACACGAACAATCCCCGCCTACGGCAGAAGAGAGAAGAAGATGTGACTACAACTCTCCCGCTGCTTGAGCAGAACAGCGACGAGGCTGATCGGGCTGAGATAATATGGACAACAGGTCTTCACCATACCGAACCCACGTATTCTCCGCGGACGCCGAACGAACAACAAAACGACATCATCACCCAGAGATGGGCCCGCAGACAATATTACATTGACGAAGAAGAGGGCCTAACACGGCCTGAAGGTTTCGAGGAATCAGACGCTGACGAGTTGGAGACCGTCAATAGGGCGAACGACAACGCTGAAAACGCATACATGAATGAGAATTGGACCCGCAACAGGAGCTCACGGTCATCCTCAAGGGTCCGCTTTCAGGACGACGGGGACATAGACACGCGCTCCAATGCCTCTTCGTCCAGGCCCGTCGGAGAGCGATGGGGTGGTTACGAAATTCCTGAGCCTGAACAAGACCTTGGCAAAGAGGTACTATATCAGGTCACACAACAGGGGTTCAACGAACTACTCAACCCGCTTTTCCTAGAGAAAGAGGACATGGCCATGGACGCACATGAGAAGCGCAACGAGCGACGAGCCAGAGCAGCCTCAATCGACGCGCTGACCATGCACCACTTCACGGACGGTAAGGCTGCTGTTGAAGCTATTGTACAGGTTGGCGTTTTTCGATTCTCGAAATGCATCATCGACAGATTCTGCAGGACACTCAATAACGGACGACCACATGTCAGAAACTTGTTCATCAGTCATAATAACGGTAAACCATATACCGAGCGAGAGGCATGCGCAATACTCCAAGAGATCTACGATGATGTTGAAGCGAGGGTACTTGAAACCGTGAAGATATCCAGAAATACTAACGTCGACAACATGACAATGTGGAACACGTTGTTGATCAAGTCCCAGCTTCGAGAAGAAGTCCTTAATGCTATCGTGGAATGTGTACACAGTAAAGGATGGCTGGCACCACCTGCATTGAATGGAAGTCCGGCTGGTACTTACAGGGATCCCACTATGCCCCAATTCCGGCCAGACTCATCCGATGAACCGCCACCGACAGCCTTGCGGACTGTCTCGGATAGCTCCTCAAAGACCAGTGTAGCCTCCGATACTGATACATCCTCGCTACCCTCAGACGAAGGGACGGATCTAAATCGTTGTTTTTTTGCGGCCGCAGGTCACGACGGCCTAGAAGACTACTCAGAGCGAAGATATGCCGGCGAAAGCGATTCTCCGGCTCATGACACTACTGATACTTTCGGAGAAGCTCCACAACTCAGCTCTTCGACAGCACAGCAAGGAGCAGAAGATGGCCTGTATGCGATCAACTGGCGATGGTATACCGACAACCCCGAAATCCACTGTCTCCTCATTCAAAACATTGAAGGTGTGGACACTATCATATGTGCGCGCAACCAGATCAATCATTCCACAAACCCACATTATACTGAGACGAATCAACTTAAGCCGTTGCAACGCTCAATACGTCAGCTTGCTATGGACCCAAGATCACGCCTTCACCTTATCATGCTAGCCAGTCTTGAGGCTGTCGAGCAGGAGATCAACGAACGAAAAGGAAGCGGTCTCATCAACTTTGAGGAGTTTGCGGAGCACATGAGGCAGGGCAGGCTGGGATTTCTTCAGGCTTGGATGGAATGGGTAAGCATGTGAACTGAGCAGGGATATGGGGGCCCAGCTATACCCACTCGACTCAGAACTCTGTGCTTAAAAGGGATTGCGTAGTTTGCGACTTTGTCTTCGCTCGTCATCTAACTCGCTGTGCTTACATTCGTTCCAAGCGGCTGTCAACGGCACGGCTAGTCTTGCATCGGACTAACATCGTTTGATTAGTTCTTTCAATTGCTCAGTCTACCCTCGCGTATTCACAATACTCCGCCTCGCGACCTGACCATGCTGATATGGACCTGACGTTGCACATATGGCGGTGTTGGTGTTACGAGGAAATTTATACATACTCATGGGAGGTGGACATGGAAAAGAGCAAGGGGAAGGCATTGCCAGTTTTGGTCTTAGAGGAAACGATATGCACGAAACGTTTAAGAATTGATGACTACAAAGCTTCTCTATTTCATGAGCTGCAAAGAATACCCCAGGCAGAAGAATACATTATTTTCCATTTTCTAAGGTAAAATATTGCGAATGCCTTCGAAGCAAAATTTTCCCAGTACAGAAGACTTGCTATGTACATGATGGGTGGGTTACCAGCCGCGATGGGATCGTCATGTCTGCTTTGGTAGGTGCTCTGCGATCTGTCCATGTTGATTTTCGCACCATATTGTGCTTCATTCAGTTCTCGAAGCAAGTTAACCGTATGACCAATCTTCAGAACATGCGGTGAGCACATGTTCCTAGATAGGAAGTCTCCCTACTTTACCTTGGCGATACCAACTAACCAGCCGATGTACAGCATGACAGCTACTTTCTGTTAGACACTTTTGGAATGTAATTTCCTCCTCTTCTAAGCTCCTAGCCTTGAAAGTTTGTGTGAATGTTGGAGTCGAGGCAGGAAATCGATTAGAGAAGGGTCACCCTTTGGCAGTCATCTTATTGTTTCCTCTTTTCGACGGTGCGGGAAGGATGCCGAGATGCTCGAAAGTGGTTAGCAAGCCAGGGTTTTTATCCCTTCGACACCGACATTATGGTTTTGTCACGCCTCAATAAGCATTGGTGTTCGAAGGATCGTGGATGATGTGCTTCGGTAGTGAGCTGTTGAGAGCATTTGAACTCTGGGATTACTATACGTAATACGTTCTATTCTACATCTACCTCCAAGACGATTCCACAGTAGCCTGACACTCAAGTCTACTCGGCATCATGAAGACATCTACTATCCTTCTCACGACGACGACCATGTGCGTCCTCGCTACTGCTACATCTCTCCCGAGTTCCGAAACTTTGGCTACCAGCGACATCTGGATAGGTCTGAACTTGAACAAATGTCTAGTTAATGCCGAAGTCATTCCCCAGGCCAAGTGAGTTCCAGCTACCAACTACAACGTAGACTGTGGAAGCCATATCTCGCCCGATACATCCTGACAATTACACACAGCCTCGAAGCTCAGAAAGTCGTTACCAAAGAGGTCATCGATGCCTACAACGTCTGGGATATCGAAAGGATTCTCGCATACCGAACTCCGGACTGCAAGCAACAAATCCTACCCGCTACTCTCAACCGCTCACCTAAGAGTAACGACGAGTACCGCGCATACTTTGAAACTATTGAGCCCTTGTACATCAATTTCACAGTGCGAATCATTCTATCAAAGAGACGAGATAGAGCGACTGACTCATCTGATTATAGGCCACAGTCTTCCAAGAGACGCATGACTCCGAGGCGCACACTTGCATCATACATGCACGCAGTACGGCGTCGACGCCGATCGGCCCATATGCGAATGAATATGCACTTATTCTAACCTTTACAGAGGATGGTACGCAAGTTAGACAATTCGACGAGTTTGTCGATTCGGCATACACTCTGGAGTTTGGGGCGAGGTTGGCTGCATTCTTGGCGAATGGGACGTCGACTGATCACTGAGTTGCAGAGTCGTACCCAGCCTACATACGATAAAGAGAGGCTTCAAGAATGTAAATGCGCATCTTTTGAACGATGAATTTGTAACTCCCGTTTATTAGTCTATGTGCATGGGCGGAATTCCTTCTCCATATGCATATTGCGCTATGGCGGCAGCGGCATTTTTAGTGGAGGTAGTCACCCTCTACCTTATTGCCTCGAAGGCAGTCTGTGTTTCGTGTCGTCGCAGGACTTATAATCAGTCTTTAGATACACCCTGCTTTGGTAGACTTCTTGCTACACCTTTTAGACCGCCGTAGTAGGTGCAGGATTTTGGGTCCTGGGCACACGTCTCATGTACACGTAGTTGGTGGATTTATGTCGTGATGATAGCATTTCGTTCACATTCCAAGTAGGCTCTCAGTGCGCAACGTGGGGTATCGCCAGCTCCTTCAGACTCAAATTGCGACTTCCGTTCGTATCGCTTGTATCCTGGCTCCATCTTGTCGTTGGCGTGCGAGGTCGTACCACACGCGCCTCAGCCTCCATCTCCTCGAAATCCTCTGGCTGTGCCGGCTCGCTGATGACCCTTGTTGTAGTGACCAACTTGATGTCATTCGAACCGATCCCACAAAGATCGTCTGAACTTTCGCTTCCCGATGGTAGTGTTACCTTGCTTTTTGATCGTCGACCCCTTGTGTGTGTATTCATCGCTTCGATTGTACATTCGCCTCCAAAGCGCTTAGGCTTCTCGATCCAGAACGCTGCGAAGGTATCCATGCCATCGACATCAGAGGGTGGTTCATCAGAAAAGATCATGATGCGCCGAGTGCAAGTATACAAGAGTACGTCAAGCCAGCCATTCGAGACGATCATGGCACCCGAGAGGCAAAGACGAGCAAGCGACGGTGGGTTACCGGACATTGACGCCATTCGTGCGGAAGCCAACGGGATGGTGCAGACAACGTATACGAGCGGATATACGACCATAAGGTTTGCGATGGAGCGTACACGTTTAGCTTCTTCGGTTGTGTAGTAGCCGGATCGAATGCGGATTGACAAAATTGTGTAGATTATGGCGTAAACAAGGACGTTGCCAAATTCGAAAATGAAGATCCAGACGTAGCTAAATATTGGTTTGAGAAGTCAGTATATATCTCACATGCAGTTCGTGATGCGGCTTTACTTACTGTGTCCACAATCGTAGGTCTTCGAGGTCATGATGAATCCAACACCATACTCCAGACCGTACATAGATGCTTTCTCCGTACATACCAAGGGGAATTGAAGATACCCCAAGGATAAATACCCAGAGCAGGAAGATGCAAACGTAGAAGCTTCGTGGCTTCAGACGGAAATTCAGGATGATTGATGCAAAGGTATGTAATCCGATGACAAAGCACCAGATTCCACTTCCCAGATCACCTGTAGATACCAGCCAGCCCTGCGCAAAGCATATTGGATTTTCGACGTCGACGGATCCCAGTCGCAGCCATTCGACGTTTAGTAGGAATGCAAGTGCTTGTTGAATATCCGCCCACAGAAGGTTGAATATCAGAATGACGAATTGATTGCTTCGCTTCGATCGCAATTGCCAGGATACCAGTTTGTAAGTGAGTAAGAAGAGTAATGATACCGATGCGAAGAAGCTGATGAATCCCAGAACAACGACTGAGCGCAGCCACGGGTGAATATGGTCCGGTAGTACAAACGAGGACGACTCCGCGTCCAAGGGCTCCTGATGAATGGCCATTGCAGGCGACGAACTATTGATCCAGCAATGTTTCGGAGGGTATATAGGTTACACCTAAAAAGAAAGACTCCTGTGGCTGCTCGGAGCTGTCATATCGAACCAGAAATCATGAAAATATCGTAGGCGAAGTAAAGTAAAAATATGGCGTTCGACCTAGCACCAGCGCAGGTACAGAGCAGATCTTAGAGCACACCCTAGGGGGCAAACAACGATGATGTACGATTGACTTAAGGGTTCCAGCGTGCTGAGAGGGCCGGTCAGCACACGACAAGGACCTTTGTAATCTAGGATCCACTATAAGCTGGGGAGAGGACAAGAGCGATGATCCCAGTCTCCACCGATTGACGCTAGCGTCGCTCGTGGCATTCATGGCCCTAGCCGCTGCGTGGGAAGACGGTTGCTAGCCCGCAAGCGTTACAGCGGCTTCTATGTGAGACTTGTTGGAGCCGGTGCGAGGGGACGCCAAAGGCTTCTATGGCGTCTTCGACCACCGCCTTGTCACCTTTGACATTAGACAAGTTTGCAAATACGTGCTCTGCACACTAATCTCAGTCAACATCAAACTCGCCATCTATCTGGAAGAGGGGAACAGTCCGAGGAAGCGTCATCTGACAGGCATGCAACCATGCATGCGACCGACCCTAAGACCGACATGCTGCACGGCCGGCATTACTGTATCTCGAGTCTCGAAAAGTCTAGGCACCAATGGAGGAGGTCAGTGGCTTCGGCTGGGCCACGAGGAGCCCTTCCTTTTGGTTCTTTCGGTTAATATGATGGTCCCAACTCGGATCGTGGTTGGAGAAAGCTTTTGGGAGGCTTGCGGGAACTTGTGGAAAAAGACCGGTTGATTGCACACGCATAAGAAGCAAGCCGTGATTTTGTTAACGGCATCGTGTTGTTGCCCTCTTTGTGTCTTCGATCCATGTCACGGCGCGACTGCGGTGCTGCTGAATCTGATTACTCTCTGATCTGCGCTAGCTCCGGATTATCCCCTAGGAAAAGACCTGGGGATCATCAGCACCAGGTTCTCCTAACCAGGTTCCCTCCGGCTTCAAAACCTCCGTTGCGAAGCGAAATACTGAATCTCACTAACATGATACGCTCTGAACACTCTACGTTCAATCTCATGCAAGCTTCAAACATCGGGTTGTCCGAGCGCACAACAATGGCCCGTTTGCCCCCAATACAGCTGGGTCACCGAACGCCTCCGCGCACGGTCGCACAACAAATCATTACGTGCGCCCGCCGACGGCTGGCGTGTTACCCTTCGACGCGTCCGCGGGAGATGGACGTGAACACCTTTCGGGGGATAGGAGCTACACAAATGCCCATGTGCGCACAGGCGCTCTGCAGCATGGACAAATACACTACCCCTATGGGACGGCGCGACTCGAAACACGAAATACAACGTCTTGATTAAGCGACTAGAGTAACCTCAACTCTCTATCTCTCTATGCTTTGGGGACAACCTTCTTTTGATGAGTATCTGCGCACGACCCGCTTACCTTACTTTTACCCCAGAAAAGGGCTCTTGGCCGAGGCCCCAATGCCATCCAACGCGATCCTACTCAGCCAGCCAAGCGCTGCGCCCGATCATGCGCAATATGCTTTCTGGCCTTCCGTTCGTGGAAAGTTGCTCGAGTCGCTTCAGCCTTGTCTGACGACTAAACCTTGCGTTTCGGCACTCGTATCCCATTTTGCATTCTGCCCTTCGGCCCGCTATCCATGACATTTTACCGTGATATTTGGAACCGTCCTGTTGGGACCAGTACAGTCGCATGAGACCGCAGGATTGAGTTTGCAAGTCGAGTGCTCATGAGGGGTTTTATCGGCATCGAGAGCCTCATGTTTGCTGACATGCAGCTCCGATGCATCCGAATTTCTGCCCATGCATCTGGTTTTGCAGATCCGGAGTCGCTTGCCTTTGCTTCTAGAAGGCTTCTGCAACAGTTCGGATTCGTCCAGACGCCCGTTGCGGTTCTGTGATATGTCGGCTGCGTCGGCGTAAAAGGAAAAAGGTATTGAGAAGAGGTGTTTGCCTTGCAGGAAAAGTAAAGGATCGTCGAACTTGAAGTAGTTGCTGATCCAGACGAGATGTTGTAGCTCCGGGTCCATCAATATCGACTACGGGATGTGATCTAGCTGTACCACTACTACCATACAAAAGAGATACTCAGACAAAGATCTCAGCGCCACCATAAGATATTCCATCAACCGGCCGTCATCAAGAGAAAGAAAAAAAGAAGAATACATGACATAATGCCGATATATATGGCCGCAAAGTCACCACGTTATGACTATCGGTCGAGCCCACGTACAACGATGATTGTCCTTCAAATCCGAGTTTCGTAAAACGTTCAGCCCGCAAGGGTTGGGTTCAGAGGCCATCATTATGCACGTATAGCTTTGGAGTGGCTCTTACCTTGTGCATTCAGATTCATCTTGATATTCGATGTCTTTGGTCCCCTTGCGCGCTGTTAGCCCCTGTGTATTCTCGAATTTTTCCCCGTTTGTACCCTTTCTCGCTTCCCAGAGTGATTCAACATGCACGTGTATAGTGCGCTGCGTACTGACGATCCCCTCTATAGCGAATCGTGGACCGTATATCTGCTCGTCTGTTGGGGCTACGGATACACGCAGAGGCACATGATGTATATGAACCCCCAGGGCTGTAGGAGTAGTGTAAAGCTTAAGAGATGGACTGACATTTCCAAGTTTCGCACTTTTGGGTTGCCACACTTGACTGGAAATGGTCTCCCCAATTTTTCCAAAGGCGTCGTCGTGTGGTTGGGATATGTATAGAGGAAGCAACCTCTTTTGTCTATCGAGTGACTGGGAAGCTGATTGGACCTTGCATCGCGATGTATGGCTAGCAACACGGGAAGAAGAGGATTGTGGTCTTTGATCTCTCAACGCCGAAAGCGCTGGAGGATATCGAGCAAAAGATTGACATTAGTCTCTTCGGTACGTTAAGTAAGGTCGATATTTCGTAAACCTCTCCATTGCCTTTGCAAGCTAACGGCAGACGAAAACATGTATACCAAAGGCCGGTTGGCACTTGCAGCACATCCGATAATTTCCATCGTCATTTCAGGTCTCGGTGGATTATACAAAGACGGATTCGTGAGAACGGGGGCATAGGCGGTAATGAGAGTCAGTGTATGTTAAGAAACATGCTGAACAACTGCGGAGACCAATTGTCAAATGTTGTGTGCGGCAAGCGCTATTGATTTGGTATCTACTCTTTTGCTTTCTTACATCCGCAGATTGTCCAATGCGTGATCAGACCAAGCCCACCAGAAACCCCTATCCCAATGCAGACCATGCATACATCTCCCAGCTGACAGAAAAGAAACAGAGAGGTCATAGTACATGAGTATGGTAATGAGGAGAGTGCGGAATAATGAATGCCTCAAAGCTCGCAGAAATACGTGCCAACGCAACGCTCAAATGTGCCTCCCACCCACGCCAAACGCCGCGCATGCTCTATGCGATGTCAACCCACCTCCCAACTGAGGGATGGTGTTTACAAACAATGCCAACTCAGCGACGCGCCTGTGTCTGCGAGAACCAATCGTCCTGTGTGGAATGATACTGCCGCCGGAGTTCAGCCTCTTCCTCTTCTTGGCTCGATTTGAGGATTTCCTGCATGGTCTCAATGTCCTTGATGATGACATTGAACGCCTCGGTAACCTCCTTAAGGACGAGATTGCGGTTGTAGTCTGAACGGTGCTTCCAGATGGCGTCCATGAGAGCAGCATTGATCTGCTCCAGCTGCTCGAGCGAACATCCAGATGTCGAATGGACAAGCTTGTTGTGCAACGCAGTGACCAAATTGTCATCAAGAATAAGCTGTGGCTTCGGCTCTTCATCGTTGAGGATCTGGTTGAGGTTCGAGTGGTGTGGAGGTGCAGGTGCAGGCATGGAAATAACATGCTGAGATGACTGCGACGTTTGCGATGGTTGTGAGTTTGACGGCTGACTGCTGACGTAGTGAACTTCTGTGTTGAAAATGTGGTCAGTGGTGTCTTCTGATAAGAGGAAACGGGATATTTGGAACCGTTGGTGGATGGGGGTTGGCGAACCTTGTGTATCGGGGAGCTGCGACCCATTCGGCTCTGGCATCATTTCTGAGAAATTGGGTATGCCGGATGGTGCAGCACCGTTACTGCTTTGAGTTCCAAACTTGTTGTCCGAAGACCGGTTTGAAGTCTTCTGCCCAGAAGTCGTCGTAGAGGCGCTGTTGTGATAATCGTTCGGGTGCGAGTTCGGTGCCATAAAAGTACGACCAGACATTTGCGACTTTTGCGTCTGTGTGCCCTGACCCTCGATTCTGCTTGGGGTCTGGAATTGGAAATCGTGGTGCGTGTTGACATTGAGATCTTGACTGTCTGTCATATGAGTGTCATCGTTGGACGGCGCGGTAGATCCATTCGTTGCATGCTGTGTGCCGTCACCGCTCGTACCATTAGACAAGCCTTCGGCCTGAGGTGCCCGCAGCGGGGTTACCGGCGGCATAGATAAACGGCCAGGTACAGGCTCACCCAAAGTGATGGGCCCTGACGTCTCAGTGGTACCGATTGACTGCTCGGGTGGAACACGTGCGACATCTTCGAAATCTTTGTTAGCGGCGATGGCTCTCTCGCGCTTCTCCTGCGCCTTCCTCTCACGTTCGAGTTCGCGCTGGTAGACTGCTTCACACTCTTGGAGAAGGCCGGGGTTTTGGTGCATGAAGAAGTTGTCCAGATCGACCTCAACGTTCGTGATCATCTCATTACCCTTCAGAGTCCGCTCAGCATCTCCAAATGTCCTTGCATCCTTTACAAGGGTCTTGATATCAAAGAGGTAATCCGCGGGACGCTTGTAGTAACCATTTGACAACCGTTTTTCGATAGTGCTCAAATCCAGATTGTAATATTTGTTGCCGCTCTCGACATGTAGTAGCACGTCCACGCCTTTGGAGTCTTTCGAGAATTCCCATGGACGTATAACACCTTGTT